TACACACATCGATATACAACCGTTGAGGCAAATAATCTAACGTTTTATTTCCACCATTGCAATATAGTAATAATGTAATATTCATATTCACCTATTTCTATTATATTCACAATCTAAATTTTTTTAGACCATTGTCTCTTTCTATTTCTATATCAAATTTATCAATTTATATTTTGTATATCAATAATACTTCTGATAAATATGTATAAAATTAAATTTGGTTCGTTTTTTTGTCCTTGTCGATATACTCAGAAATTATAGAAGTATATTTTGAAATGAAATTGAATAAGTTTATTTTTATTTGATTTTTAAAAGATTTTTAAACACAATAATACTATATATCATCTATACGTGTGAGTATAACTAAGAAATTACTTGGAATTCTAGTTTTGATGTGTTCAACTATTTTAATTGAATTTATAACTGATCATTAGTTTTTAAAAATTATTTGATATTTCGTCGTAGCTTTAAATTAATTTACAAAAAGGCATAACAAAAAAAAACATGAAATAGCTGCCACAGCAATTTCTGCCTCCGAAACTGAAGGGCTTTAATATAGACAGCGTGTCAAACCCACGTGTGTCTGCTCATCTCCTGAAACTAAATACCCCTACAAAATCAATTAAGAGAATAAAATAATTAATTAATATTATAATCATCCTAAGCCGACAAAACCCTATTAAGCTACTACTTATGTGACATCTTAATCAAATAATCAACCGCTTTAATCGAACTTAGATAACCAATTAACTATTCGTTAATTAAGTCACCCCCTCGTGCGCCTCCATCCCCCTATATATACCCTCCCCAGAATAACGGTTGAAAGTAAACAGTCTCTCTCTACTTCTCTCTCTCCTTTCCGTTCTCCGGTGATGGTTGGAGTTTTCCGGCGATCGCTCTCTTTCCCAGCGAAGATAAATCCGAGCCGATCTCTGAAGCCGGAGATCTCTCAGCACATCAGATCTGTGAGTCTCCTGGTCAGATCTCATCCCCTCTTCTCACAGCTGGGCAACGACGTCTCCGACCTCCGATCGCAGTGGCTTTCCGGCGGTGGCGCTGTCCGTACACTCGATTGGATCCTCGATGGCCTCCGTCGCCTCCGCGACGTTCACGAATGCTTGTCCGAGATTCTCTGCCTCCCCCAGACTCAGGACTGCCTCCGCAACCGCTGCGAGGAGGATTCCCTCGCCGAAAACCTTCTAGAAGATCTCCTCCGCTTCGTCGACGTATTCGGAACGTTTCGGACCTCGATCCTTGCTCTCCGGGAACACCAAGCGGAATCTCAGGCGGCTCTCCGACGAAGAGACGAAACCAAAATCGCTATGTACCTGAAAGCTCGCCGGAGAATCGCCAAAGAGATCGCCGGACTCTCCGCCTCGGTACGACGCTGTACGAAGTTGGAATGCCACGTAATCACGGTGGAGTCGTCGTTATCGTACGCGGAGGCTGAGCTGGCGGCCGTGATAACGGAAGTTATGGAGGCGACGGCTGTGATATCGCTGGCGTTATTTAACGGCGTGAACTCGGCTTTGGGATGCAGTAAAACGGCGTCGTGTGGAGCGGGGCTATTGAGGAGGGGCAGAAATGTCAGAGTGGAGGAAGGGATAGAGGAGCTGAAGGGGATCCGCGGGGAGAGTTTGTCGGGGCTGAGGAAGATGAAAAATGAGGACGTTAGAGTGGTATTGAGGAAAATGAGGGAGTTAGAGGAGGGTATTTTGGGAATTGAAATTGCAAGTGAGAAGGTGTTTAGGAGCTTGATTAATACTAGGGTTTCTTTGCTTAATCTTCTTACCAAATAATTTAATTATACAATTCAATTTATCTTCCCCCTGTTGTTCTTGTATCTACACACAAAACATGCACTTATTAATATACATGGATCCTTACTATATATATATAGTTTATTTGATATATTTTTTTGATAACAGTTTATTCTAAACCAGGGTATAAATTAATTTTGGGGTGCCAACCAACAATATAATTTAGATATAATTTGGATTATACATTCTTTTTCTAAATTTGAGATTCGAACTCAGGACACGACAGACGTTTTGCATCTCCGTTTCACCGGTTACAATTCAAGATTCAAGTTTGGATTGATATATATATATTGTTTACATGCATAATTTGGTTCGTATAAATTATGAAATCAACGTCGTTAAATGGTTATGTTGATAAATTAATATTGTAAATTGGAGTTGAAAAGAGAGAAATTAAAGAATTACAATTTCAAGTATAAAATATAAATTTATTTATTTTAGATAATCGATGTTTTAATCAGATTATCTAAAACATGTGCAGTCCGAATTCCGCATACTATATATATAACGTACGAAAATATTGAAACAGCCGCATGAGTCGTCCAGCACTATTGTGCGACGAATTTCAGTCGTTTACTATGTGACATGTTTTTTTCCCATACCCATAAATAATTCATACATTTTAATTGTTGGAAAACAATAACATTGTGTTGGTTGTAATAAAACGTGATATTTGGTAATTATAAATAAATAGTGCCAGGGAACAAGATGATAAACATACATAAATTATCGAATGTAATGATTAGCCACTTGGTCAAGTTGAATAAATTCTTGGTCCCCACACATATTATTTGGCCTTTGATGAGTTCCCCCCATTATTGCCCAATCTGCTCCGATAAACAAATATTTATATACACCACTTGTGTTTAACGACTATGTAATATTTTTTTGGTAAGGAAAGAAAATTAATATTAGACAAATGGATATTTACAATTAGAATCATTAGCAATTTCCAAATTCTAACTGTAATTAAATATATCTTAATTTCTCAAATGGATATTGAGAACATGGTATCCGATGCGATGTTTATACAAGTTACTTAGAAGTTGAAACACTAGTGCGATGTATATTATAAGAAGCAAATAAACCTATTTTATTTTTTTAAAATATATTTTCGATTTAGTATAATTATATGTACAACTTTTTGTGAAAAGATATAAAGTATTTTCCAAAAGTTACTAATATTAGTTAAAATTTATGAACCAACAATATATTTTTTCCTTCAACGATTTACTAACGTTCTCAACTGCGATAACAAAAATTAAGATATAAATTAAGAAATACAAAAGTAATATAGACAAATATTAAAAAGTTGTATATCATCTAAAAACATGATCCATACTTAAAAATAATTTTCTAAATATCATCTAAAACTAAAAAAAACTATTTCATTACATCTCTTCTTCCTATTAAAGTCTTGAACTATTATCTGCTCTACTAGATTTCTATAGCTAAAAAAACAACAAATATTAGTATGTTTTAAAATTTTGAGTACTATGATTTTGAAACGAAACTGAATAAATAAAGAATTTATTATCCAAATTCATATTCGAAGAGATCGAATATCCAAATTCCAAATTCCAAATACCTTATTGTAATCTTGATAAATACAAGAGACTTTTATAATTTTTAAAAAGATTAAAGTCAAATTGGTAATTTTAAAAAGATTAATGTAATTTTTCAATTTTAACAAATATTAATATTTTTTTGTAATTTTATCTGGTATCCACGTATTTGTAACGAAAAATTCAAAGTTAGATCCCAATTTGCTGTTATTAATACGTATATATTATCTGTTAAACCTCCCTTATAAATATTGGCCCAATAACAATACATATTGCATATAGTATATCTGCATGTAGAAATATAAAAATAGCCAGCCCAAGTTATAAAGAAGTTATCTGTTATTTGTTTTTTTTGTTTTTTTTTTAATTTTTTTTTACAAAACCTCTTGTTCGGGTAGGAGGTTTTTTCCAACGTGGCGGGTTTATCCTATTATTTAATTAGAAATAAAACTAACCCAAAATATCGCGGGAGAAAAATTTCAAAAGACGGAAATACCCTCCAATGCTTGAAGCGGACAATTCCGTTTGCGATTGGGAAGTTGCAGGAGACAGGAAAAGGGAGGAAGATGCCGAAGTGATCTTCGAATCCATCTCTCCCTCTCCCTCTCCCTCTCTCTCTTCTTCTGTGCCAGGAATAGGGTAGTCGACTTCGGTGACGGCGACGACGAGGCGGAGGAGGAGGAGAAGCGGCGGTGGAATCTCCATGGTCTGACTACTACTGGCCTATTGTTGGCGGAGGAAGCTTGTGAACGAGTTATAACGAGTCGACTCATCCAGAACCATGGGATGCTGCGAATCGACCTTCCTGAAACCATTGTATTTACTCGCCAAAACCTCCGTCTGCGGCGGAGAGAAAGACAAACGCCGCCGGAATCACCATCCCCGTAATGGTAAAGTTAGTCCGCCGCCTGATGGACGGGGATGGAATTTCTCCGCCGTGCCGGACATCTCGGAGTTCTCCCTCGCGGATCTTCGCTCTGCGACGGATAATTTCAGCTCCGACGCACTCGTGTCGGTTTCGACGGAGAAATCTCAAGACACTGTGTACAGAGGCTATCTCCGGCGTGGCCGAGATGTTCGATGGATTGCCGTTAAGAAATTCTGTAAATCTGCTTGGCCTGACACCAAACAATTCGCTGTACGTTTTTTTTTGTCTAAATTCTCAGTCCCTCAAAATTCAAATCTCTGATTTCAAATATTCTTCACATAGGGTTTCATTTGATTTGTCCTGTGTAGGCAGAAGCTCGGGCTATCGGGAGATTGAGGCACAAGAGGATGGTGAATCTGATAGGTTATTGTTGTGATGGAGATGAGAGATTGCTCGTGTCGGAATACATGCCCAATGATACCCTCACCAAACATCTGTTTCACTGTATGCATCCAAACATTTATAGAATTCGCTGTCGACATTGTTATTCGATGAGATTCTTTCCTGAAAATAGTGTCACAATTCTTTTGGATTGGTAATAGATTTCCATTACGAGCTGCTAATGCTCTTAATTGCTCACATTGTTACCCAAAAATGGCTTGGCAGTTCGTTGGTGTATCTTTGTGTTGAGATGTCTTTATTGGTGGCGTTTTAGATTCTCATAATAAGCTTCTAATGCTCTTACTTGCATGCTATGTTACCAAAAAAATGGCTTCGATGTTGTATAAGTTTGAGTGATTTCGGTGTAATGACCTGCATCATTGTGCTGAGATGTCTTTATCACCTCCAATTTAGATGTTGTGCTTGAGTTTGCCTTAGTTGTAATGATGTAAACCCTGGACCTTGCTTGCTTCAATTTCAGGGGAGAACCAAACAATGGAGTGGGCAATGCGACTAAGAGTTGCACTTTTTGTTGCCGAAGCTTTAGAATTTTGCAGTCTGAATGAGCGCCGTCTTTACCATGATCTCAATCCTTATAGGGTTCTATTTGACGAGGTAACTGAATTGAATTTTATGGATTTGATCACTGGAAATGTATTTTGTCAAGTTGTTACTGTATTCCTATCTGTTTGATCTATGTAGGTCTAGGAGTAAATTGTTCTTTTTTGTTGGTTTTGTCAGCATGGCAATCCTCGGCTTTCATGTTACGGGTTGATAAAAAATAGCAGGGACGGGAAATATTTCAGCACAAATCTTGCTTATACACCACCTGAATATCTTAAGAATGGTAAAGTTTGTCTTCCAATGTTCTTCCTTTATTGTCTTTATCTTGGTGAACTCTCACTTGCCAAGCTCGCTTAAGTATCCTCAGATGAAGGGTTTTGTTAGTTATCCAAACAGAATCGTAATTCAATATTTCTTAAGATACTGCTATGTCTTTGTTCAATAGAGCTGCCAATATACCAAAAAACGATAGGAACTCTATTATATTTTAGGGACTGTAATTTGATAGGAGGAAGCAGTGGGCTTGTATTTTATTTTCTAAGTCTCATAACACAACAGCAACATTGATCATTTACTTGCCTTTTCAAAGATGTTAATTCTTGCATTCATGTAAACGCTGAAAATGCACTTTTTACTTGCACATGTTTCCGTTCAGTTACCACATTTTTGTGGCAAATGATGTATAGTTTACGTGTAGGGGTCGACAGTT